CTGTCACACGTCCATTGGTTAAACTGTCTAACCTGTTTAGCTGTCACACGTCCATTGGTTAAACTTTCTAACGTGTTAAGCTGTCACACGTCCAGTGGTTAAACTGTCTAACGTATTAGCTGTCACACGTCCATTGGTTAAACTGTCTAACGTGTTAAGCTGTCACACGTCCATTGGTTAAACTGTCTAACGTGTTTAGCTGTCACACGTTCATTAGTTAAACTGTCGAACGTGTTAAGCTGTCACACGTCCATTGGTTAAACTGTCTAACGTGTTAAGCTGTCACACGTCCATTGGTTAAACTGTCTAACGTGTTTAACTGTCACACGTTCATTGGTATAACTGTCTAACGTGTTTAACTGTCACACGTTCATTAGTTAAACTGTCTAACATGTTAAGCTGTAACGTGTTCATTGGTTAAACTGTCGAACGTGTTAAGCTGTCACACGTCCATTGGTTAAACTGTCTAACGTGTTAAGCTGTCACACGTCCATTGGTTAAACTGTCTAACGTGTTTAACTGTCACACGTCCATTGGTTAAACTGTCTAACGTGTTTAACTGTCACACGTTCATTGGTTAAACTGTCTAACGTGTTAAGCTGTAACGTGTCCATTGGTTAAACTGTCTAACGTGTTTAGCTGTCACATGTTCTTTGGTTAAACTGTCTAACGTGTTTAGCTGTCACACGTCCATTGGTTTAACTGTCTAACGTGTTAAGCTGTCACACGTCCATTGGTTAAACTGTCTAACGTGTTAAGCTGTCACACGTCCATTGGTTAAACTGTCTAACGTGTTAAGCTGTCACACGTCCATTGGTTCAACTGTCTAACGTGTTAAGCTGTAACGTGTCCATTGGTTAAACTGTCTAACGTGTTAAGCTGTCACACGTCCATTGGTTAAACTGTCTAACGTGTTAAGCTGTCACACGTCCATTGGTTAAACTGTCTAACGTGTTAAGCTGTCACACGTCCATTGGTTAAACTGTCTAACGTGTTTAGCTGTCATACGTCCATTGGTTAAACTGTCTAACGTGTTTAGCTGTCACACGTCCATTGGTTAAACTGTCTAACGTGTTAAGCTGTCACACGTCCATTGGTTGAACTTTCTTACGTGTTCCTTTTGTCGATTTTGCTCTGGACATTTTAAAATCTGCTTGACTGTGTCCTAATCTTCAAATGTAACAGGTTTGCTATGCATGTAATACTGTTCAGCACAGTTAAGTGTCGTGCCATGGATATGAATGAAAGTAGGATAGTGTTGACTGCATGAAGAAAACTTGGAAAGCAGTACCAACCTATCTCTTATCAGTGTTGATACGTTCACGCACACAAACGTTTTCACATGTCTGTGTGATCAAAGGGAGTTGAATGGAACTACAAGAGGATGTGTGTATTCGCTATGTCTGGAAAAATAACAAGATCTAAATTGATTGGCCCTTTCCATAGCCAGCAATGAACACAGGTGTTTCCCCATTGAACACATCTGGGACATGATATTGAGATATGTGCGTCTGGCCATAGGCCGCTGACCACGTGCACGTTGACAGAATTTGGCTAGGCACTGCAGGAGGAGTGGGACAGACTTACCTGTCTCACCTCTATCGTCCTTCAAGATCACATCTACTGTCATACTTCACTACCAATTCGTTCGATAATGTCGGACCCGATAATATCACTGGCAGTCTTACAGTAGGTCTTCAGCAAACCACGCATGCCGTAAAAGGAGACTCTGCTTGTTGTAAGAGGCGACTAACGGGATCGGATGTTCAGGCTCGCTGGCTTGGTTGATGCATGTCATCGTATCCCAATTGCGTGGATCGATGCTCATGATGTCAATCACTGTGTAGTCTGGTCCAGACTTTATTATTTACAGACCGCCGTTAAATGGCTGGAATATTGCTGAGGGCGGCGTTAAACAAACAATCATACATTGTGCAATAACAAATACTACCACACACGTAGATATATATATATATATATATTAGCAAAGTGATGGTGTTTACGTGCAGTATTGATCATAGTCTAAATAGAGGTGAGGTGAAATGGGATTTAACGTCGCGTCCAAGATTATTGCACTTACATGTATATAGCGACGTGCATGCACGTGTGTATGTGTGTGGCTGCTTGTACTAGCCCGGACTGATGCCGATTTATAGTGCTAGCTCACTGAGATACAATGCCGCAGTTTAACATGAATACCCCACTCAGACACAGTATACTGACTCCGAGCCGACCAGTCCTTGTTTAAGCCCCTTAATGCCGAGCGCCAGACATGGTAACAACAAGTACCACCTTTTAACGTCTTTTGGTATGACGCGTTTGGGGATCGAACCCCGGGCCCCGGGCTCTACCACGAGACCACGGAGACGGCCTAGTCTAAATAGACCCGTGAAGATCCAGCTTAGAAAAGGTCTTCAGCAACCCATGCTTGCCGTAATAGGCGACTATGCTTGACGTAATAGGCGACTATGCTTGTCGTAAGAGGCGACTAACAGGATCGGGTGGTCAGGCTCGCTGACTTGGTTGGGCGTGTCATCGTATTCCAATTGCGTGGATCTATGCCCATGATTTCAGTCGCTGGATTGTCAGGTCCAGACTCGATTATTAACAGACCGCCGTCATATAGATGGACTATTGATGAGTGCGGCGTTAAACAACAAACAAACAAACATAGTCTAAATGATTCTTGTGATTAAACAGAGTTTCAGTGACACACGTGATTTTCATATCGATTGTCCATATATCTTCAGCAATCCATGCTTGTCGCAAAAGGCGACTAACGGGACCAGGTGGCCAGGATAGCTGACTTAGTTGATGCATGCCATCGTATCCAAATTGCGTAGATCATTGCTTATGATGTCAGTCATGGATTGTCCGGGCCAGAAACTACTATTTACAGACTGCCGCAAACATGGCTGGAATATTTCTGAATGCCATGTTAAACAACTCACAAAGAAACAAATGTAAAAATAGACAGGGACGCGACCAGCTCGCTTCATGTCCGAGTCTGTTTAGTTTGTGGAATAATAGTTTTTTCTTCACCCATTTGTAATGCTGAGTGTCAAGAATTTAGTGGAATTCATTTTAGGCAGCATCTCACGATTTCTTCATTTAATAGACTTCATAATAACGCCATGTGCAAATACGGTCTCGACTTGATTTGTGCAAGTCATCTAACGACGTTTTATGCGCAGGATATCAGTTAGATTGTTGACACTTAGTAAACATGCTGTGGGGCAGACTGTTGTCATTGGTTTATACGTGCTCGTTGACATGTACGTTAGTCATGCAATGCACGCATGCCCCATCGGAGATTATTTCGTTTGTCATCATAAAGTCTAATCAATCGTTATAAGACCCGTGAAGATCCGGGGTATAATAGGTCTTTAGCAACCCATGCTGGCCGTTAAAGGCGACTATGCTTGTCGTAAGAGGCGACTAACGGGATCGGGTGGTCAGGCTCGCTGACTTGGTTGAAGCATGTCATCGATCCCAATTGCGTGGATCGATGCTCATGATGTCAATCACTGGATTATCTGATCCAGACTCGATTATTTACAGACCACCGCCATACAGCTAGAATATTGCTGAGTTCGGCGTAAAAGAACAAACCAAACCAATCGTTATAAAGTTATAAAGAGCTAGCAATATTCAGCACAGTATGACTGAAATAATGTGCAACATGTTGAATTAGTTGCATCATTTTAAATAACTGAAACATTTTAAATAACCTGAAACATTTTGAATAGCATGAAACATTTAAAATGTTTTGCTTACACTTTACCTTTCAAATTACTCCTGACATTTATTTTCGTTTGGATTCGAAAGTTGAAACGATTTTGAAGTGTTGACGTCGAATCAACATCCGATATCAATGTTGAATTTGGTTTGGTAATTGTTTTAATATTAGCTCCATGGCTAAATACAACTCTTTATAATCAGGTAAAATGGACTCCCAAACTGCAATATGCCAGGGAGCTCAGGCGGAGGTCTAGGGTGATATCGTGTCGGGGGCATGCCTTTTTTTCCACGTAACATGGTTTGATAAGGGTGAAATCCTGCACCTGGTGCGAATGTTTGTTTTATTCGTCATCACTCGTCGTTCATGGTGTCGTTATCAGCGGTCATAATGCCCTGATAAAGCGAACTGTCCTTGCAGTTGCGGTAAAATATATTAATCTATGTCCATATGAATTCATGTGGTTCCGAAAACGTATTTAATGCATATATTTAATATTATGTAGCACAAATGAACGGACACACACACAAACATACACTCACGAACAAGCAAAATCACAAATACATAAATACACAAAAAAGCCACACAAATAAGAAACCACAAAAACTCAAGGACAACACAAACACACCTAAACAAACAAACATCACAAACACGCAAAACGTCAATTCTCAATTAAACTTGTGTATGATACTTAACCCAGTCTGTCCCGCGGGGGGACGTGCTGATCGACAAAAGACATGTATTCCTGGGTTTGGGGAAAGATCCGTGGTAGACTAAGGTCTTCAGCAGCCCATTCTAGCCGTAAAAGGCGATTATGCTTGTCGTAAGAGGCGACTAACGGGATCGGGTGGTCAGGCTCGCTGACTTGGTAGAAGCATGTCATCGATTCCAATTGCCTGGTCCGATGCTCATGATGTCAATCACTGGATTGTCTGGTCCAGACTCTATTATTTACAGACCGACGTCATATAGCTGGAATATTGCTGAGTGCGGCGTTAAACAATAAACCAACCAAACAAATTAAATAAGTGATGTATGAATATGCCAAATTTGCACGTAACCCATAAAACAGTTGAGGGATCTGTTCAAAGCGTCAATGTTTTGCCGACTAGCAATGCTGAATCATGGTTTGGGGTGAAAGGGGATTACAATTATTGATGAATGATCATGTCAAATATGCACATGACTTGCAGAGTCGTCTGTATGTGTTCAATTTTCAAATATAACAAAGCGGCCAGTCACGATGATGAAGCATGTTTGTAGGTCACGTAACAGAGTGCAGGCACGTGTGTACATGCGTTTACACTGCAGCATATGTATAACATCGCCGGTTCAAGTTGTAGTGATACAGCTAATTTACTTGCCGCCGTGGAAGGAATAACATTCAGATACTAAATTGTAATTCATACACACAGAATTGCTGCATCAGAGGGCTTCCTGTTACAATGGCACTGAGAGGAAAAGTTGCTATCATTACAGGTGAGATTGTTTATTGTTAGCTAACCGGGTCCGACGGACCAAGGCGAGCTTTTGCCATACTGAGGCGTCCGTCTGTCAACAATTTTTTCAAACGACTTCTTCGAAATTTGACTGGAAGCATCCCCAGATGGTGGGGATTAAAAATTGTACAAATGGTAGCGCTTCGGACCAGGGTGACACAAAAATAACATTGAAATCAGGTGTCTAATTTCATTACAAACTTCAGAATTAACAAGTTTATTCGCACACAAACGTGCGTATGAATACAAAGATCTTTCGATAGCCTACCATCTTCCCGAAGCAAGGGAGTTAACTGACTATAAAAGTCCAGTTTCCAACCTTGCCGAACTATGCTGGTATTTTGGAGTTACATTTTGGCTGGACTAACGATTCTATGCATAGCCCAATCAAAATCGCACAGCGAAATCGAAATCCGGTTGGAAACAGGCATGCAGATTTCGATTGCAGGATTTGCAGGATTTGCAACGCATGTGCGCCGCCAACTCGTGATCGACAGATCTTTTCTAAATCTTTTCATGTTTTTAATCAAGGTTCTCACGTGATTTGATGCACTTCGCGATGTAAGACTCGTTTTATCACAATATAGATCTTACAAGCATGGAGTAATGTGGACACATTCTGTCACGTTATTCACCAGCCACAGTCACCCCCTCCACACACACACACACACGCACGCACGCACACACACACACCCTCCACACACACACACACACACACACACACACACACACACACACACACACACACCCTCCACACACACACACGCACGCACACACACACACGCACGCACCAAACAAAGCAGGGTACATTGGTCAGTTTCCAGAACACATAAGTGACAGAAATGGAATTCTTTGTATGTTTCATGTCAATCAGCACATTCCTCCTTTCAGGTTCCAGTTCAGGAATTGGGGCAGGAATTGCAGCAGTGTTTTCAAAAGAAGGAGCCAAACTGTCTTTGACAGGCAGGAACCAGAAGAATTTGGAGGAAGTGGTTAAGAACTGCAAGACGAAAGGTTCTGCCGTAAGTAGAAACCAAGGAGAGAGCTATAGCCGATTACCAAATCAACATCCTTGTTTCTCCTGAGCGATGTGACCTACAGGCATGTGACCCGTGACGATCCGGTGTAGAATTGGTCTTCAGCAACCCATGCTTGCCGCAAAAGGCGACTATGCTTGTCGAAAGAGGCGACTAACGGGATCGGGTGGTCAGACTCGCTGACTTGGTTGATCATGTCATCGATCTAAACTGCGTGGATCGATGCCCATGTTGTCAATCACTAGATTATCTGAGCCGGATTCGATTATTTACAGACCGCCGTCATATAGCTGGAATATTGCTTAGTGCAGCGTTAAACAACAAACCATCACAAAAAGTGTAGGTTTCCGTCTTCCAGAAACCTTCCGGATACCTACCCATTTTGGATCCGGCCCGGATACCTTCCGGAAACCTTCCAAAAAAAATGTCAAAATTTGGGGGGTGCATTTTGTTCACTTAAGTGTGAAACACATAAAAAAATTAACTTGAAAATACCAAGCAATTTGAAGGTTGCTGAAGGCATCTGGTAGGTTTCCGGAAGGTTTCCGGAAGGTATCCGGATGCAAATTTTCTTCATGTCTTGTTTCTGGTTATTAATGTTAGCCTGTACATATGAGATAGCTGTTGTAATATTCTGTGTTATTTTAGTTGTAAATATCCTCCTAAAACTGAGATATGTGGGCATGCATTGTTCACAAGTTCGATTCGCGACATGGGTACAAATGTGTGAAGCTTATTGCTGGTGTCACCCACCGTGATATTGTTGCAATATTGCTAAAAGTGGCATAACACCATTCTCACAAAAATGGAAAGTCATTGCTTATGTGCTTTGGCATTTGGCCCTGGTGAAATTAAAAGATTAGTTTGGAACGGTATCAGTACTTGTTATATCTGGACAGTGTAGTTTCATGGGAGTACGAAACACAATACAATTTTCCCAAATTGGTGCATAAGACTAATGGCATCCATAGAAAACACCTAAATAAAGCACAGAAAAAAATATCAATGTCATTTGATTACTAGTGTGGAACTACAACTTTTGTTAAGTGAGCTGTATTCATAGTAGGAAAACATTCAGGGCATTAGTATATTTTATATTTGTTCAGCACCTATGTTATGGCTGATCAGTATCATATTTCTTTATGCTAATGAAGCAAAACAAATAATGTTTTTGGAATAAAAATCATATTTATTGATTTTATGACATTTCATTGGTACATATCACAAATTGAAATTTGATTAAGCAAGAAGAGGAACTAGCATAAAGTAGCCAGTGGTGTTTGCAAGAACTTACAGAACAGACTCTTCAATGCAATTTTCTAAATAAACAAATTAGTCAAATCTCAGAAGAATTTCATGGAAGAAGAATATGTAAAGTCAATTATGTTTCTGCAGTAAACCACAAAAGTTATTCAGATTTGTATAGTCAGAGTCGGTGTACACAACCTGGACATAGTCACAGTGCTTTGGCATAAATTCATTCAGACTTGATTAGTGTCATACTATAGTCACTATACTATAGTCACACTGATGTGGCATTATTCATTCAGAATCATCACTTTCTGTGGTGAATCTGTTGGTTGTTATCGGGAGGATTGTTCATCATCCGGCAAGTCCCTTGTCTGACATGTCTGAGCAAGATCTTCTTAAATGTAGCTGGTGTCAGATTGTGAAATCCAAGTCCTGAAACAATTCATAACATCTTTAGAAACTTGTTATTAAAAAATTATGAAACACATATTTACAAATGTAAAAAGTTGTTTTCTCGAACAGTGGGGTATTGACAATTTATCTTGCAACTGATATTTAACCAATCTTTGAACATGTAAATAAGCCATTGCAAACAGAAAAGTGTTCAGAAAATACAAAAATGTATCCGGTCTTCAAAAACAATACCTTAAGCGCCACACGGTTCACCTGAATTTTGCTTGAATGTTTGCATTACATCAAAATATATGGAAGGGTAAACAAGACAATGCAAAACTAAGTTACATAGGTTCTTATACATAAAAACAGAACTATTCATAATAATCAAAACTTTCAATCAGACAGGTCATGTAAGTGATCTCAAAATACAACATAATGAGCGAGTGAGTTGGTATAGTTTCATGCAGCTCGTTAACAATATTGCATCTATGGGCTTCACACATTGTACCCAAGTGGTGAATCGAACCTGGGTTTTAGAGAACGTTTTACCCACTAGGCTACCCTAGCACACCAAATACAAAAGCAAGTGCATTAGGATTTCAGACAATAGATATTCTCACCAAATTCATTCATTCATTATTTGAAGCTATATTGAAATTCAAATTTTGACAAATTAGGATGAGACTGTAGAAGTATTTATCTAAGTTATTATGGATATTTAATATCTACCGTTAATGGTAGTCCAACATAGATAGTGATAAGAAATTCAACTGAAAAGCACAACCTGAACCATCAACTAAAAACTATGTATATTACATTAAAGGGGCCGGTCATGTATTACCGGTATGTTCTCATTCATTTCTGACACTACCCTCCCTGAAGGAAAATGCAAAGCACTTTATATTTTATTGTCCATTTTTTCATAACCCTTTTTACATGACCGGTCCCTCCCCTAGAGACTCTCACATTTTTGGGGTGACCCTCCCTGTTTGTTCTGATCTGAATTAAAATATTCATGGCAATATTCTTGACTAAAATCATTATCATATTTTTATCATATCTTATCATACCTTATCATATCCTATCTTTTTTTTAAAATAACTTTATGAAGATTAACAATAACATGCAAATCTGCCAAAAATATTGGTCTGGCAAAGTTTAAATTAATCATCATTACTGTTATAAAGTTTTGGATACATCGTCTGTTTCTAAATACAGCGAAACCCAACTTTGACTTGCATGACATTATTGAATCATCTACCCAATGTTCTTTATGCATTGATATGCATCTGCACAGAGTGGTCAAAGTCCTTGTCTGACACATAGTGTGCTACAAGGGAGACATCTGTTTGTGTCCAGCCAAACTGTCAGATAATCTCATAAAACAAGTGACATCATCTTTTCTACAGAACACATGATCAAAGCCTGGCCCACCTTTGATGTTTATTACCTTGCTACTCTAAAAAAAGCTAATTAGCAAAATGAACTCAATGTCAACTCATTGTGGGCTAGGGATTAACAGGGCAATTAGTGTCGGGTGGGTATTAGCACTTGCAATTGTCTGTTAATTACTTAATTGAGTAGTGACGGCTTAGTCAGTTGTGCATTTACAACCATGCTGACTGCTATTTAACCTATCAAGTCAGTCTACTATGTAACATGCTTCTGGGGACTAAGGATATGTATCTTGCTGGATAACAGGTTATTTTTCTACTTTATGAGATATCTGATATATAATAATGACAGTTTTGATGTGCATTTCTTTGTTTTGTTCACTAGGATGATTAGTAGTGATGGTATTTGAATAAGACACTATTTATTCCAAAAGAGGAATAGGGTTGGTGAAGAGGCAAAGCTTATTTGAACACAAAGACATTTAACATTTAATAAACAGAAACTGTACAAAAATCAGATTAACTGTTTAGATTAACTGTGCCTACAGTTGAAACTATCATGATGCAAATTTTCACTGAATCAAAGTCATATCTTTTCAAGACTCAGATCAGGTTGTAATGATTTAAGTTCACATAAAACTTGCTAATCTCAAATGACCCATCCCGACTTATGGCGCTTTTTATGATTTGGTTTGGTTTGTTGTTTTATGCCGCACTCAGCAATATTCCGGCTATATGTAAATAATCGAGTCTTGACCAGACAGTCCAGTGATTGACATCATGAGCATCGACCCACACAATTGGGATCAATGACATGCTTCAACCAAGTCACCAAGCCTGACCGCCACCCTATCCCGTTAGTCAACTCTTTAGACAAGCCTGTTACGGCAAGTATTGGGTTGCTTTATATTTGTGTGTCCAAATTACGCGATTATTAGAAATAATTTGTATTATTATACACATGAAAATGGCTTAATATGGCAATGTTGAAAATTATGTACAGGAAAACATTGAAAGAATTCATCGATACATGCATTTTTGTCAGAATCTGTTAGATTTAATCAATATGGTTTCATACTTGAATTATCTACTTACCAATTTAATAACTACATTATTGCTTAACTGATAGTATTGAACTTTATTGTAATTAATACTTTTTTGTGTATTTGATAAGCATATATATAGGCAATCAGATTGTTTGCAAATCCATTACATTTTGAAATAAATATGTTGAAAACACATGTAGTAGTACATATTATTGAGAAGATGGCAATAGTTGATGACATGAAAAGATGTAATGTGTAGGATTCTCAAAATGGTATCCACAACGGCAGGTAGTAGAAACATGTTGTGTTTGTTGTTTAACGCCACACTCAGCAATATTCCAGCCATATGACAGTGATCTGTAAATAATCGAGTCTGTACCAGACGACCCAGTGATTGACAATGTGGGCATTGATCTAAGCAATTGGAGCAGAATCGTGAATATTAACCTTATGAAGGAGTAAGTATATACTCAGAAATTTTGTGATCCTCATAATAAAGAAGTTGACATCAATACATTTCCTCCTTTAAGTCCTTATGTGTATCACTTGTAAATAACTTTCATAGACTTCAGGAGTATATCTGTGATACATGTGTGCACTTAAATAAATCACTGCATCCTTACCTGAGGCAGGAATAGATAATTGACAGAAACCATAGTCAAATTTATAGCCAAATACAGGTATTTGAAGATTTTCAGTTGTGGCCACACTTTCAGTGAAACCCATACAGTATTTGATTTGTAGTAGTAAACTGTTCTGGTATTTTCTGTTTGTAGCTGTAAAGAAGTTCCAAAATTGTAGCGAGCACCTGCACAGACATTAGGAGAAACAAGATGACATAGATATTGACCCATTTGGAAAATTTACAGCCTGAAGTATGTTTGTTGCCACATATCAA